AAAATATTTTGATTCTTTAAAAAAATAAATGAAAAGCAACTTTTTAGTTAAAAAATTTTAAACGTTATAAAAAAAATACCCTATGATTTAAGGGATAACAAGTTGCTTAAATGGTAGATTTTATTTATACAGTCCATGCAACTCCACAACAGCAAGAAGAAAAAGTCGAAAAAGATGAAACAAACATGTCAGAAAATTATATTGAACAAAACAACACTATATCACAAACAAAGGATGAACAACAAATCTTTGAAATAACCATGAGTAAATATACTTCAGAAAGTACAACAAACATAGAGAAAATACAGATTCCTGAAATAATCATGGAAGAACAGCTCTCTTCAAGCAAAAACTTTGATACAAACTCACCTATACCCAACCCAAGACAAGATATTAGAACTCACTAAGACTACAAAACAAAAAATAGACACTATTAGCCAACAAACTCCTATTATGTTTATAAAAAAGATGCTTATAAAGCAGAAATGCTATTGGCAAGTACTCCAGGAGAAAATCAAGCCAAACAAATCAAGTATATTGTAAACACACTCAAGCTTTTCACCAGCAAATATCACTTTATCCAACCACACTTTCTCAATAGAAATAGATAGTACACAATCTACTTTCAATATGAAAAAGATCATGTGGCATGCATAAGTAAATTCAAAAACCAAGAAGACTTCTAACTGTTCGCAATACAAGACTCAATCTCCTTTCAAAACAACAACAATCCTAATGAGAAGTCAAAAGATCACAAATACAAGAAATCAGTTAAAAAGCAGAGCAGCAGTATTTCCAACCCATTTAACATAACCAACAAACAAGATGGAATTCAACTCCAAATTAAATGCAATTTACTTCCTCAAGCCAGTAGGAAAGATCAATTATAACAAATTGTCAACATACTAGAAGTACCAATTGAACATGAAGGAATACAAGTGCTAACATTAGGAAAGAACAAGTGGATAACTCTCTTCTTTGATAAAACAACTGATGCATTCAAATACAAATAACAACTGCTAAACTATATACAATTACAAGACATAATTCTAAACATCAACAGAGATACAGGCCAAGACATTAATACTCTATCAGAAAGCTCAACCACCTCATCAATCACTAATCTAATATTTGAACAATATATTCTTATAGATATTCCAATACATACTTCTCTCAATAAAGTACAAAACATTCTTAGCAAATATGGAGAAATTACTTCATTGAAAATTATCAATAGAAACAATAATTACAACAGTATTATATTTTGTTTCCGATCTACAGAAACAGACTTAAAAAAGATCTGGATAATTTCACTTGATAATCTAATGGCCAAAGTAGCATCTCTAGAAAACCACCAAGTTACCTTTTAGAAATATAATGAAATTACTACCAGATTATATGACATTGGAAAAATAACATCAGCCTTACAAATAACGAGTGCCACAAAGCACTTAAAGATCAAAACAGTATATATTCTACTTAACAGTAAAATAGACAAAAGAAGAAATTTTGTTATTATAGAATTCGAAAACCAGAAAGACCTCAATAAGGCTCTATCAACATATGTAGAACTGTTTGAATACAAAGTCTGGTGGAGCACCAAAGACAATACAAAGATATATAAATGCATCAACAAAGCATCAAAGACCCAAATCCTAGAGCTCAGCTTAAAAGAAGACAACCAATATAATTATCCCCACGCAGTGAGCTCTTTCTCAACTATCAAATAGAAAAAAACCTAAAGTAATCTGGTCCAAACAAACAGAAAAGGAAAAAACAAACAAGTTACAACTGAATCAGTAACACTTGAACACAACATGTCCATAGAACCAAATCTATGGAACTTAATCTAAATATTGCTAGAATCCATTAGTGCCAAATTGACAAAACTAGAAGATAAGAAATATAAAAATAATAGAAAATTCTGTTACTTTTCCTAAAAAACCATAACAGTTCAATCAAAAATCAACATTGGAGGAAATAGATTATCAGAAAATAGATCACCAATAGAATCTCCAATTCCAAATCTCTCGTTAATCAACACTTCAGACACCTTTTATTTAAAACTTTCTCTAGAATCACACAATCAACAATCAGATACAAACATTATTACCTTTTTATATGAGCAAAAAGAACTATTCTTAAATAACCAAAATACAAATTTCAACAAAATTAACTTAAAAAAGCTCTTATGCAATCTTAGTGACAACTCTTTAAATGACAACTCCGATACTTATACATTATATATAACAATAAGTACATATAACATCAAAGGGATCACATGCGACACAGATCAAACCAACTTAATATTGGAACTGTTAAAAAGAAAAATTGATATTTTAGGTCTTTGTGAAACTAAACTTTCCAAAGAAAACCAATATTTCATATTCTCAAACCAAAAAGACTTCAAGTGTATCTCAAGTACTGAGCAAAACAATCCCAGAAGTGCAGAAGCTCTATTGCTAATTTATAAAAACATTGAAAGATATATAGCATTAATAGACACAATCAAAGATTACCTAGTAGCAATTAATCTGTTGAACAAAGGCCACAAGACATGGATTGCTCAAATATACCTTTCCAGTGATAAGAGAAAAAGTCAAGAACTACAGAAAAAGATCTTAAAATTATTACAAGCCTACCTACAGAAAAGCTATGAAATCATAATTATGAACAATTTCAATACAATATTAAAACCAAGAACAGATCACAAAACAATAAATAACACAGAAGAATTTATCAGATTCAAAGATCTGGAAATTGAATTATTCAATTATATGAATAATTGAAATCTTTCTGATCTATAACAATTATGGGAACCAGTAGAAATTATATATATTTGAGAAAACAGAATAAGCTCTAATAGAATTGATTATATCTGGGGATTTTATAATATAGCAAACAATATGCTTCAATTCAGCAATAATAATTTTTGCTTAATTTTCAACAGTGATTATACTATACTATCTATTAAAGTTATGCGAGATACAATATTCCAAAACTATCAAATAAACATGAAAAAGTCCAAGCCCCATAGGAAAAAGATAATTAATATCACCAAAACAATAGAATTACAATGGAAAAAATATGTATACAAGATTAATCAAAAGCTTTAACAAAATGGTATCATATCTTTAATCCATACAATGAATGATAATCAGACAAATAGTAATAGATAGACACAATTAATCCAAGACTTATAGAAAATATTTGAGAAAACCCTAATAACCACAGCTTTCAATTACCTATATTGTGAAAAAAGAACAACAAGAAAAATAGTCAAACTGTGCTAATATAAGAAGAGTCAAAAAGAACAACTTGTACTTTGTAACTACTATCTAATTATTAAAACTTTCAACAGTTGGTTCAACTTCCAAGACCCTGAAGAAAAATCATTGCAAGTTCAAAAATTATAGAAGGAATGTAACAAAATTAATCAAAATATAGCCCCAATAGTTCCAATCTTCAAATCTATTCAAGAGTTAACTAAAACCCTAAAAGAAAAAAAAAGAAGGACATATTAGCTCTTCAACTCAAGAAAATAGCCTGTTTCTTAAAAAAGATATGTCTCAATAAAGAAAGAGGTAAAACCAATACAGAAATTAAGCAATCAATTCAAAAAAGATATAGAAATCTCAAAGAGAACCAAAGAAAAGTAGTACAAGGCTTAACAAACAACTTTCAAGACAAAATAACCATAGATAGAATTCATATTTAAGATGAACTACAGTAGAAAGAGAATACATATCAGTAAACAAAGAGGAAATTTTATATTAGACTGAAGAATATTACAAAAAAGCCTTTAAAAAAAGAGATAATAACTTTGAGCTACTGAACAAAAAATAGAAAAAACAATATACACCAAAAGCTGAAATAAAAGAAAAATAGTATAACAAGATGATTAATACCATTTTCAAAAATGAGTTGGAAGAAGTATTGAAAGACTTTTCCAATGACAAAGCAGTAGAACCCAACAAGATCAAATATGAAATGCTCAAAAAACTAAAAACAGAAAAAAAAAAATATCATGTCAATTCATGAATATATACTTAGCCTATAATACAACTCCAGTGGCATGGAAGAAAAGTTTACTCTACCTATTTTAAAGGAAAAAAAATGGCAAGGTAACTTAAGTAACACCAGACCTATAGTCCTCTTGGATGTCTCATAAAAGTACTTCACAAAAATCATCACCAACCAATTATCCACTATTTGTAAAAGACACAATATCCTAAAGGGTTCCAACTTTGCAAAACTACCTGGAAAAAGCACTTCAGAACCCATCCACTTGTTAAATAATATCTGCAAAGAAGTCAGAAAAGAAAAGAAGGAATTATGGATATTATTTCAAGATATGGCCAAGGCATATGATACAATTAACCTAGAAATATTACAGAAAGCACTTCAAAGGATCAAAATTCCAGAAAAGCTTATAACACTTATCTTAAATCCCTTCATCGACAGATCATTGAAGATAATTACAGATGTAAAAATAACAAAGAAAGTAATAGCAGGATATGGAATAGATCAAGGAGAAACAATTTCTCCATTATTATAGTGTATCTTTTATGACTCCCTATTATGTAAAATCCAGGACAATACAAGATTGAATTATTCTATAAACTGTGAATGGAAAACTGATCATAGCAAAAATAAATTTATACAACTGTCCATTCAACAAGCCACTATAGCATACATGGATGACACAATATGGGTTGCTAGATCTGAAAAAGATATGAAAAATATTCTAGAAAGGGCCAAGTGATTCTATATAGCCAATGACTTCCAAATTAATGGCAACAAATCAGTACTAATTATGATAAACAACTACAATAAAAAACCAAATATGGTTAAAATTGAAGTAAACCCACAAGAAGTAATTGAAAGTGATCACAGCAGCTTTACCAGATTTCTAAGAATATGAATAGGAAACAAGAAACATACTAAAGACACAATTCATCAAATCAAGCATGAAATTACAACAATAGTATTAAGTCTCGAAAAAAAAAAAGTAACAAACAAGCACACAGAATATATTTTAAATAGAGTGTTTATTTCACGTATAGAATATCAAATACAATACTGCTTCCTAAATCAAAATATATGTAACATTCTAACAGTACAGTTAAGAAAGATTCTAAAGAAAGTGACAGGATTGGTCTTAACAATTTCCAATTTAATTATCCATTATAAGAAGATCTACAATATTAAAAGTTCAAGAAAATTTAAGCAGAGAATCAGATCTCCAACTTTATGAATAGATT